ACAGCGTAGAATCCTTAACTCTGAGTAATGTTATGTCACGACTGCCACCACTAACCCTGAGCTAACGTAAGCCACTCTCCTATTGGCTTGCCTATTCACAAACCTTTCTCTATCCTCATCCTTGAGTCTGAAACAGTAGTCGCCAGCCAAGCGTCTATATATGACAAGAATATTTAGTACGATGAAAGACTAACATTAAAGGAATAGTTATACAGGTGGAACTAAATAACATTGATGTGTGAATGACACTAGATTTATAATTCTAAATTTAAATAAACTGTGTATAGTAGTTTCATTCAGTCAGTGAATTTATCATGATTACCTTAAGACAGATCATATTTGCTGAGAAACTTCATTTCTTTCCGAGATCAGTATATCTTTAAATCTTTTCTCAAGTGAAAAATATTTCTATAAACTATTTCTCATAGTATCCACAATATTTTCTCAGGTACACCGCAGTGTTGAAGAAGTTCCTATAATGTTCTTCTATCCACACTGTAAAACGCCTCATAGTCAAGGAAGTTGATGTATAGTGAGGGGTTCCATTCAATTGATTGTTCAAAGACGATCCGAAGTGTCGTGATTTCGTTTGTACGCCGTCGATCCTTACGGAATCCGGTCTGTTGATGTCGAAACTGGACGTCTACTGAATCTTTTATCCAGTTCAGCAACACTCTGTCGAAAAATTTTCTTGGTTTCGATATTAGTGTGATGCCTGTGTAGTTACCACACTTGCTCAGATCTTCCTTTGGTATCTTCATGTGTTATACTTCTTTTCAGTTTGTCAGCACTTCTTCCTCTCAAATCTTCCTGAATAGAACATGGGGCATATTTGCAGTTACTCCTATGTCTGACTTCAGCGCTTCAGCTGGTATATTGTCAGGTCTTGCTGCTTTCCCACTCTTGATTTGTCTGATGACCGGCCATCCTGATGGTTATTGTTGGTAGTGACATTCAGAGGAAGGCCTGTGTGTTGCTTTGATGTCCAGTGAATTCAATGGAGCTGGTCTATTCAAGAGTTTCTCGAAGTATTCTACCCATCTGTTCCTCTGTTCTTGAATCTCAGTGATTGGCTTGCGTTCCTTGTCCTTGATCGGTCTCTTTGGTTTACTATATTTCCCTGTCAGTTTCCTCATTATATCATAGAGTTGTCTGATATTTCCTTCTCTTGAAGCTTTTTCCATTGTCGTTGTTAGGTCTTTCACATATTTCTGTTTGTCGGCTCTAATGCTCTTCGTGACTTTTTTGTTTACTTCAGTGTGTTCAGCTAGTGCCTTGATCTTCTCTGTTCTTGTTATTCTGTTGTTAATTGCTGTCTTCTTGTTCTTTCTTTCTTTGATCTAGTCCAGTGTTTCTATGGAGATCCATTCCTTATGATGATGCTTCTTGAGGCCCAGAACCTCCTGACATGTTGAAGTTAATGCTTCTTTTATCACTTTCCAGTTATCCTCCATAGTTGTTTCTTCTTTCGGTAGATCCTATAAGGCTTGAAGTCTGATGTTCAGAGCTATCTTGAATTGGTTGACTTTGTCAGTATATCAAAGGAAGGCTGCATTAAACTTTTGTGATGCTATTTCTCAAGTTGTCCATTGCTTCCTTAGTTTCAGTTTCATATTGGCAACCACCAGGTGGTGGTCTGAAACTATGTCAGCCCCTCTCCTGATTCTCACATCTTCCATTGACCTTGTGGAATTTCAACTGGTGCAAATATAATCCATCCGGTTCTGTGTAGTTTGACCCGATGAGACCCATGTAGCTTTGCGTATGCGTTTGTGTGAAAACATTGTGCCGTCTATGACCAATATGTTGAATGCACATAGATTTGCAAATCTTCCCCCATTTTCGTTTCTCTCTTCCAGTCCATTCCGTCCCATGATATCTTCATATCCGGTGTTGTCTATCCCGACTTCGGGGTTTAAATCTCCTATTAGGATGGTCTAGTCCTTTCCTGAGCATTTCTCTAAGATCGATTGCCGCCTCTCATATAACTGATCTTTACCGTCGTTGTTGCTACCATTGGTTGGTGCATAACATTCGTTGTGATTCCCTTCTTCTTTGTTTTGAAGGATGCTTTGGTGATTCTGGGTCCATGAGACTCCCATTCCATAAGTGCACTTCGTGCTTCTTCGAACAGCATCAGAACAACTCCGAGTGTGCTGAGCATTTTTTTCTCCGTGACCAGAGTACAGAAGCATCTCCCCTTAATCTAAATTCTGCTGCTCAGCTTAGGTCCAATGAATTTACCGTCAAGTTGTATCTCCGCATTTCCGCAGCTATTTGATTAGTCGTTCCGACCTCCCACATTGTCCGAACATTCCATGTACGTACATTAATTGTCGCTCTGGTTGTTGGAAGTGGCATCGGCCTCGTGACTTCCGAAAAATCTCGGCTTTCATCAAGAGGCGTCATAATTGTTCCTTCAACTTGGAGGACAGAGTTTAAATGGTTTAATTTGTTTAATGTGGTTGGCATCTTCTAGCAAGATTTTTTCCTACGGGATGGGATTGCTGACCCTATGCCTAACCCTACTCCTTTACCCGGGCTTGAGATCGGCAGTAACCCTAGAAGAGCTGCAGGCGGATTTAACAATATAACACATTACTTTTGTTCATCATATTGATAGATTCACAAAATACCATTTCACTAACCATACTCCAACTATATGGACCAAATGTATCAGTCAGTCAACCAACATGAGACCTGACAAATATGAGCATAGGCTTACGTCGCTATATCACAACAGTATTTTGAAATGAGACTAACGAGGTGAACAATGAAGAAATCGAGATAACATAGTAGTAATAATGATGAGAAAGAATGAACATTCAGAATATAATTCGGAAAGACATAATTATAAGGCATGTATGAAGGAATACTGAAATACGTCCATACAACCACTGTCAGGGAAGACCTAACCACTACCTTCTCGCGGCATTACTGATGTTTACGAAATTGAGAGGATGAAAAGCGGAATTGATGGACACGGAGATTCCACCTAGGGGAGTTGGAAAACCCTCATTCCAAACCAAAGGTGCACATGGACTGCAGTATCCTGAGGGTACAAATGGCGTATGAACTTATTGTTGGTCACCGGCTAACATGGGACTGCATCTCCTAACGTTGCTCCACTGCCTTGTGGACCAGACCTTTACGTCGAGGGTTCTGGGTGTGGCCCCCTAGGGAAACCACCTGCTTCGGTTTAGGCAGCCGGGCAGTATCACAGCCCTAACACAAATCGAATGATTTATGTGGCGCATATCTATTTGGTACCTCCTTGTACCAATGTTTATATGTTTAAATAAATAAAATAAAGTAATATAAATACCGAGTGCTACATCTATGTGACCCTCTTCCTTTACCCGGGCTTGGGACCAGCAGTAACTCTGGAAGAGCTACAGGCAAGATAATCAACACCCATTGGCCGGATACCATCAGCAACAGCCTTCTATGGGAGAGAACAAACCAGCTTCCAGATGAAGAGGAAATTAGGAAAAGACGATGGAAATGAATAGGACATATATTACGCAAATCGTCAAACTGCATCACGAGGCAAGCCTTAACTTAAAATCCTGAAGGGAAGCAGAAAAGAGGAAGGCCAAAGAACACATTACGTCGAAAAATAGAATCAGTTATGAAAAGGATGAATAACAACTGGAAAGAGCTGGAAACGATTGTCCAGGACAGAGTTGGATGGAGTGTGCTAGTAGGTAGTCTATGCTCCTCCACAAGGAGTAACAGGCATAAGTAATTACGAAACGACTCACAATTACAAATAACACAAAAATAAAAGTCTATTTTCGTTTTAAATAATTACCTTTTTTTCAAATTCTGTTCATAATAATAATATTAAATAAATTAAGAAAAGTTATCCTAGAAATTACCAAACATAATCTATTATAGTAACATTCAGAATAAATAAATAAATAATAATAATCATACTCATTAAAATATGTCAATAAAGTAGTAAAACAATAATTGTACTCATCATAAAATAATGTATCAATGAAGTGAAAAAGCAAAATAGGGTGAATGAGCGAGATTGGTTTAACAAGGAAGTATGTATGGTCGGTTATGTGTATGTGTCTTGTTCTCTCTCTCTCTCTCTCTCTCTCTCTCTCTCTCTCTCTCTTTTGTCACATACACAGACACTTTCAGACACATTGTGTATTCATTCCACTTGGAACTGGTTAATCTGTTTCGTTGTTTTCATATTTTTGAATGAGAAGAATAATACCATACTATGGGAAAAGTGTACATAAAATACATGCGCATAAATATATGTTATACACATAAATTGAAATCTAGGCAACGAAAATAATGATAATAATAATTGTTACTATTATTATGAGTAATAGTAACAGCGATAACATAAACATTGGAAATATGTGTTTGGCACAAAATATCAGTAGTGAAGAGAATAGGAAGGAAGGAAGAATAAGCTAACTGTTGATTTTTGAAAGCGCGCGCGCGTGTGTGTGTGTCTATTTTCCCTAACATATGGTATGCAATTACTACACGGCAAACAAAACAGACAAAATGAAGTACATCGTTGTTGTTGTGGTGGTCAGAAGGAAGGATGAATACAACAATTTACTGATTAGTAGTCTGTTTAAAAAAGAGAGAAGAATACGGTTTTTTCTTTCTTTTTTTTTAAAGATAAGTAACAAACAATAACAGTTGTAGTAAAAGTATTAGTACTAGTAGTACGAAAGAGAGAACAAATGAGGAAAAAGAAAAAGCATCGAATGTTAATTGTGACTATCTGCTGAAGAAAAAAATAGCTCAAGATAGGGAGAAATAAAACAAACTTATTCGTCGGAAAAAGTTCATCATTATAAGGCCAATAATATTACTTGTAAAAATATTTTTCCTAAAAAATAAGGACCAAAGACAACAAGGCTGACAAAAATAACACAACAAGGAATGTATTTTTCTGGAAAAAAAGACGTATGTATATATATACATTTATATATATATATATATAAATCATATAAAAATTGCACTTATTCTGTTAATTTATTGCTTCAATAAGGTGGATACCATCTGTATGACTGACAGCAGCTACAGTAGACCAAGGTCTCCAACTAACCTGCAACCATTTACGTCCAACATCCACAGTGAATATGGATTCATTAACATTGGGATTATTAGTACTAGTATTATCATTAATATTATTATCTGAAAATGATGATCTGGTAAAGTTTTCAGTGATATCAATCAAATCATCATGTATCCTTCGTGGCCACGTTAATTCAGTACCGTCGGGTGATGATGTTGATGATGATATAGGTGAAACAAACACAGAAGTATTATCATCAGTTGTACGAAATGCATCATGGAATGCATTCATATCTTCATCTTGCATAATCAGTTTATAAGAACCTTCAATTGGATTTTGTCGATCAAATACTTTCACAGTATTATTATATGAACCAGTCATTATACAACTAGGAAAAAAAGAATAAAATTGTTTTACTGTTAAAACGAAACTTGAAAAAAGAATGTATGAATAAATAGTTTTATGAACAATAAATATCAATAATTTCAATAGTTGAGATCATGAGTCAATGGAAGCTAGACCACCATGGAAAACCTGGACGGCCAACTCATCCTATTGTGGGGCTCCTCAGCAGTGCACACCCACGACCCCGCCTCGCCTGACTCGAACCCAGGACCTATCAGTCTAGCGCGCGAGCGCTTTACCACTAAACCACAGAGCCGGCATCCAACAGTGTTCAATAATAATACTAATAAATAAATAAATAACAACATTTCCGTGTTTCCCTTTCCGTATAATCCTTTTTCTATCACCCTCTGTATTTACGTATATTTCATCTATATTTGTTGAATTATTTGCGAATATCATGTTGTTAAAGTGTCTAGAGAATTTCAGAATTGACTAGCTCTTTGATGTCATTGAGTCTTACTTAACATCATCTTTCGGTGGTTACCATTTTAGATTACTGTACTTCGATTATGGCTGTACGAACGTATTGCTTCCATTTTCTATTAATGAAACTGAAGCGCATCCTCTACTTTTTAGGAAAATTCGCTATTGATAACCACTAGTTAACTGTATAATTTTTCCATATCTTGTATAATTATTTACTTTATAGTTGATTATACTTTGGTGGCCTATGCTCCTCCACGAGGAGCAACAACTGTAATTAAAACTTCTTCATAAATAACATGACCGACATAAAGAAGTTAGTGACCAATATGTTTTTAAATTTAGAGTCGGGAGTCACTCCCAAAAACACCAACGGCACAGATATACTGGAATTACTTGGATTCTTAATGACTGGCTAATTGATGTGCCGAGATTTGTAAAGTGTAACAAATTGAACACACTAACTTATCAACCTCACTTAAACAGTCTCTGGACCCAACATCAGATCACTGATAACTTGGTACGGAAATGAAAGGATAAGTGCGCAAGATTGGCATGAGTCACATAGTTACGAAATTTTTATAAATACTAGCCCATTATTATTGTTAGTTAGTCTTAGTCGATCATTTTGTAATTGGACAATTCTCAGTTGACTTTCAACGCATGCCACTAAGATACCAATTTTTAATATTTCACAGTACAATAAGTTACTGACAGTGCATCAATACAGAGAAAAGCTATAATATATATGTATCTATATTCTAAACTGTTAATTTTTCGACCGTAGCTGCTACTTTGATGTGGCGATCGGGCTTGCATCGGAGGCGATGCTGCCCTCCAACAAAGAAAAACTGTCACATATTTACTCCAAGGATTTCCATATTCGGTGGTAGGGCTTTTTGATGTACGGAGCCAACATATTAAAAGCACCCCATAAAAGCCCGTGTGTGACCGGTCTCAGGAAGTTTATTCATGGGCTCTGCGGTTGCGCTTCGAGATACGTCAAGAATAAATATCATTCTATGGTGTAGGCAACCCAGAAGTGACAACCGCTCTTACACTTCTAACAGCACTTGAGATCGTCATGTTAACGAAGCTGTTAAATTATTCAAACTATTTTTGGACAGAAATGTGTTTACTCTTTTAAGAAAAACCGGACCAAAAAATCAACTACTAACTAACCACTCACATACCGATCATTTGAAGATATAGTTAATTTGAAATCATCAAAAAGTAATTCACTTTCGTATAAAACAGTTAAATGCTTTTTTAAATGACGTTGGACAGGATAAACTTCAACTGGTTGAGTTGGCATTCGTGAATCCCAAGCTACACCATGAGTATGGGGATAAATTTTAAAAAATACATACAAAAATATATATGATCGATCGAAAGGTGAGAATGTGTTCAACGTTTTCAGACACATTGAAAAGTTATCCACTTGATGTCGCTTAGTAGTAATAAAAAGAATTGATTTCAAACTGGACTAAGGAACCGTGAAAACCATGTAGCTAAACATAATTGTTTGTTTCGCTAGTGAGATGCAAGCCATAAGAATAATTTGCAAAATTGAAGTGAGACAGATATTTTATCGACGGCATTCAATTATAGTGCAGAAATGTTGTGCATTTATTATAGTTTAAAACATCTGTCATTGGGTTACGACTGGATGATCTAAAGATATTGTACTACTATCAAGACCTGAAGGTCTTAGATTCGACTCCCCATTGTGTCATAAAGATATGCACTTCTGAGAGGAAAAGTTAAAACTAGAATAACACAGCTCTCTGACACCTGGTTCTATAACCAATTAACCATTGAATGATTAAGTATTACGTTTACCTACTCTTTTGGGGACGGTTCAGTTCTGTCAATTAAGCCACTAGTACAAATCATTTCAACCATATGATATCTCAACATAGTACACTCAAAGTCAAATCCACTTACGCCGCTGGCTAAATTTCAACTCGACTGATAAAATTTGGGCGGAACCAAAGAACTAGACCAACATAAAATCGGCAAATACTTAGTGATCAATCAATTGTAAATATCTCACTCTTACAGAAAAGTCGTGACCCAAACAGCTCAACGATAACGTCTTAAACTGTGAAGTTGGGTGGAGTGGTTTCAAATCACATGGAAAGTCCTTGAAAGGTTGTAGGTACGCTTTGTTGACAAATTTCAACTGGCAGGAAACCTAGATTAAGCAGAAGTTTCCTCCGACTATCTCCAGCCACTTGCTTAGATTACTGCTTTTCAACAGTCCTTAGGTCGATATCAGTTTGTGATGAGAAATAACTTTTAAACTGAAAAATTTCGGAAACCCTCCATATCTTTAAAACCAAATTATAGTTTAGGAGTTATACAAACTTTTAAAAAACAAATCCAAAATGAGTGTTTACTTTTAACGCTCAAATAATCACGGGAAAATATAATGTAATCGGAGCATTGGCCAAATTTCAAATCGGAAACTGAATTAGTGAGAATTGTAAGCACATCTGATTCGTCTGCAGCAAGACTATGAAAAACTTTAGAAAAAAAACACCAGAGTGTGAAAAAAAGGTAAAACGTAGTCATGGGAAAAGTTAATCAGGTATAGACTCCTGTACTTGGTGTCGAGCCACCCAATTGAGATTTGGTGAAACAGTATTCGCTCTTAGTCAGGTTCTGAAACACTGACATACCTACCGACCAGCAACCATAGTTGTATTTCTCGACCTTAAGGCACCATTTGGTTCTGTATATCAACAGGTTTTGTCGCAACGTCTGTCACTGAAAGGCATACCAAAGAAGTACATTAACCTTGTACAGGCTTTCTACTCGAAGACTACTGGTTGAGTCAGAGCCCACGGCAAACTGTCATCGGAATTAGTGACTTTAAGTGATGTTCTTCAAAGCTGTCCGCTCCCCTCATTTTTATTTAGCTTCGTCATAGGCATGCTTTCAGATATAACACTTTGGACACCCGACTTTTCAGAGATTGATCTTCTACCATGAGATTCACTTGTTGACCTAGAATACGTGGATCATATAGTTCTGTTTGGTGAAGACGCTGACAAAATCCAGTCTTCTGACCACCTGAAGCAACAATTCAAGAATGTTTCAGATGTGGTTCTCTCTCATCAAATATAAAATGTTGTTTCAGGATTGGGCTTACATCATCGCCTGAATTTGTAAGAGATTGGAATAGTTGCGCGTATCAATCACTCCATATATCTTGAGAGTCTCACGAGTCTTGATGGTTTGGTGTCTGACAAAACCTCAGCACGCATTCAGAAGGCTCAATAGGCTTTCGCCTAATTGCACCACTTGTGGTGTAAGTGAGATCATTCTGCCAAATAAAAGGGGAGCTTACTGTGCAGTAGTTTGCTTCGTCCTACTTTGTGGGTGTGAAACATAGTCATTAAAAATAGATATTCGTGGGCTACTAGTGATTGGCCACTTATTTATTTCAACATATAAACATTAGTGAAAAGGGCACCAAAAGACATGCGCCAGTTTTTTTTGTGTGATTTGATAGTATAATTTAAAACCAGTGGGTAAGAAAATAATGATATGCTTACCAAGAGAAGCGTGGTCACAAAGAGAGCTTGACCGTGTATCACAAAGAAAAATGGAACCCCTGTTAGTGCCATATGCAAATAATGATGGAGAAGAATTGCTACAACTAATTCCGGTGATTAGATGTGAGCGGTCGTCCAAACGATCAAGCATATGATCAATGACACCTTTAAATTAGCAGTGTCAAGGAGTTTTGAGTTAAGAAAAATATATTGCATACCAAAAAAATCAGGTATAAAAATATAATTAAAACAGGATTATACATATTTGAATGCTCCTTTCAGTACTTCAAACTATCCCAGTTAGTTGATGACATCGTTATTTGACAGATGTTTCACATTTAGTGTATTGGTATTTTATAACAACGGTTGGAATCCTTAAGAAAATACATGAATTCACAACAGTTGACCTTTGAAAACAGACTACTTAGAATTATTTCTGAAATACTATTGCAAAAATCCAAAGTGTGTTGACAAAACAACTGCTGTTTCCTAAAATAATTTCATTTTAAAAACACATTAGAGTTGTTCCAAGTCAGGTAATTACAATGAATAACAGATGACAGTTTAAACACATTTTTAAATAGTCATGATTATTTCATTTCAAATTCAAAGGTCCTTCACATACGTGGAGAAGCTATATCCAGCAAATCAATAAACTTTCGAAATAATTTCCAGCACTGAAAATCATCTTAATTCGCAATCCAAAGAATTTCTGTTCATCACATTATAGTTGTATACAGGTCCATAATGAACTGATTTTCAAGTAAGAGCTTCTCTAAAGTTAATGCCTTCCATAAGTTTATTGTGGATTATTTATTTGAACACATAAATATTGGTGCATAAGGGCGCCAAAGTTATATGGACCACACAATAAAAATGAGGTTGTGAAGAGGTATAAAAAGTAAAGTGAGTATAATACAAATGAACCACAATCCATAGAAATTAGTGTATGAGAATGAGAGCAGTAATAATAATGAGAGAAGCAGTCCAGTTAGGAAAAATATAATCCTAAGAAATTTTTCCAGTTAAAAAGTCACTTCTACTTTTACGAATAAAGTAAAGGAAAAATACATCAGGATCGTCACTAGCTTCTATTCCAAGCCATTTCTGATAACATTTCAAGCTACTATGGTGTAGCACCTCAAGGACCCAAAAAAGAGTCTTAAAGGTCCCGCAGATGCCATTCCTCTTCAGCATTGTTTCATCCTATGACACCATGTAATACACTGACCACCTCTCGAATTTTCCGAACAAGTCCAAGCATCTGCAAATAATGAACTATATGGAGTTCGTTGGGACTACATTTGCAGTACATGTTCAAGCCACCGAAGTCTATATTTCAAGATAGTGATACCAACTGAATTATCGTCGCTGTCGTAAACACACGTTATCGAACCTCCCCATTACTAACATGGTGTTGCCATTGAAGGCTAGCAATCCCTAGGAGAAAACGATGGTCAGTTGGTTAACATCCTCAACTCGAAGGGGTCAGGTTTTACAAGCATAAAACAAAACTGATCTAACTGATACGTTGTATACCCGACCTTTCACGGCCAGAATAACATCACGAAGGTGCCAAAGATGACCCAGATTGGCATAAACCACTCTCGTTTACATTATGAGTTAATTTCACCACTCAGGTCACCACCAGCACTTACGTAGCTGCACAAATAAGATCGAATCGAACTGGAGAGATTTCAATATTATGAAGTGGGACTCAGAACTTATCAGCGATTTCAATCGAAAACATGACACCAATATTGAACTGTGTAATGTTTGATGGTTTGTACGAATCGATACAAACAACTTTTATATTCTGAATTTTATAGATATAAATCTATTTTCACGAGATAAACGTTGAAAAAGTAGGATCGATTCAAGATAAAAGCGATTAATACCAAATAAATTAATGATAGTAGACAAAATGTAACTGGTTAATAAAGACTAAATAAGTCATTGGTAAAAGGATACTGAACACCTCATTAGTAACTTCTAAGTTCCACATATTAATCCTCAGTGGATCGGCAGAGAAGAAAGTTTCACGGTCAGCAGAGGGTGACAAACCGACAATTGAAAAACCGTGGGCACGAGCAAATACTTTTTTATTCTGTACACGTATATTTGTATTTCCATAATTCTTCAAACAGACAGGGACTTTGATATCGGATAATGACCTGATAACAAATTTACGTCGGCAACCGGATTCAACGGGGAAATTCAGATTTGTAAACGATTGTGTCGGTAGTTCAGTCAACTGCCAAAGTTTTATAGTACGTTCTGTAAAAATAATACCAATGGTGGGACTGATCAATCTGATGGCATGTACCATATATGCAGTGTGTATTAGAAAAATTTAAACATCTGACCAAAAATCTTCAGATTTGGATATATATATATATATATATATATATATATATATATATATATATTTGCACAGCCAATATGCATTAGTATTAAACTTTTATTCACTGGGTTAATTGTTTCAAAAAGGCAAGTAAATTATTTATTTATTTATTTTAACACATAGGTATTGGTACAAGGAGACACCAAATACATATGCGCTACACAAATCTCATTTAATATGTGAGGGTTGTGATACTGCTCAGGTGCCCAAACAGAAGCAGATGGTTCTTTTAGGGAGTCACACCCAGAGCCTTCGATCTAAAAGTCTGGCCCACAAGGCAGTGGAGCAACGTTAGGAGATGCAGTCCCATGTTAGCCGGTGACCAACAATAGGTTCATACGCCATTTTTCCCTCAGGATACTGGGGCCTATGTGCACCACTATCTTGGGATAAGGGAGAGAGGACTCTCCCCACTCTCGGCCGTACCATGGCATTTGGGGGCCAAGTAAATAAAAAAATTAGGTATAAGTCGTGGTTAAAACTAACGGTTTCTTGTATGAAACAAATATAACTCATTTTTAAGCAGAGGTGTATGGTGGCTAGCATTGGAATCGAGGATGCGCGTTTCTCCCTATTTGGGACTCTTCAGGTGAATGTACCTGAAACCAGTACATATGAGCTAAATCTCATGAGTCACTTTATAAGAATTTGTTTCTCTATTAGCAATCTTAACGGGGTTTGTGTTGGTGTAAACAGCTGCACTAGAATACATTAAGCTGACCAATTCCAAATGAGTTTTTAGATTCCATTGCTAGATATAATAGTATAACTCATAGTTTAAACATCAGGTAGATGTTTAAGACGAGAATCATTATTGTTTTTCAGTTGTGATCGACAGTCTGGATTAATAAGCAATGGTGGAGAGAACATTCCTCACGAAAATCTAATTATCGACGCGAAACTCCCTTGTAATCAAAAGATAACAATGGATACAACAGCTAGTCACGGAAGTAAGTTCATCTGAAGAGACAAACTTATGCACAGATATCAACATGATTCTCACAAATTATTTAAGACCTAAGTGTTCCTACTGATCTCATAAAAATACTTTGATGACTTGTAAGATAGCACACGGGCACTTCCCCAACTAGCCAAATGTATCTCGCAAAACTTGTGTTACTGAACACCAAGGTCAAAACATTCCGCTTACTAAATCTGTACAATCTTATTATCAAAAACGAACAACTACGAAGTTAACCCAATCCTTTCGTTTATGTTATCTGTTAATATTTATGGTTGATGGGGTAACTGACGAATATTTACTTCTCACTCACTGTGCTTAAGATCAGCGAAAGTATTGATGTATCGACTACTGACTGGATGGGCAGGACCATGTACATGGTTACTGATTTCTATCCGTTATTCTCGACAAAATCGAACACGGAAATAAAGGATAATAGAATGGGCACCCTGAGTAACGCAAAATTAGAATTGCCACCGATATTGACTGTGGTCTCTAAAATTGTCTATCACCCTTTTTAATTTGCTAGTTACCAACCTTCAGCTTGAAAAGCATAAGTATTCACTTGCCACACTGGTAAATAGGACTTTGAGTTCGAGGGTGACGAAGTCTACTGGCTACAACTAGTTGGTCTACTTTTTAGATCTTTGTCTTTGGAAGCAATCATTCCCCCATAATTCAATACTCTAATTAATGATTACCAATGAACAATGATTCGTTACATACACGTAAAGATAAAATACTGTTTACCTATTTATAAACCTGATTTACATAATCAGTTTGAAAGATTCCTGACCTCAAACATATAGCCTTGCAACTCAGTCATAACATGACTGATCGTGTGGAAGCTTTATTATGAATATTCAAAATAACTCCAAAGCTTAGAAAAATAATTATCAAGGTCATCAGAAGGGATTAAGATTATTCCGAGTGGGTAACTTATCAGGACATTTCATTTAATAAGTGCAAATACTAAAAAATGAACCAATATCTTCGAACAACTCTTTCCATAGTAATATTAGAAAGTTTAAGCTTACCATTGGAAGATAATAAGAAGTGGGAAAGCCCGGATTTCGGGAGCCAGCGTATAAGGTTTATTTTCTCCTCTATTGCTTGAGACTTTAGACAGTCAAACTCTGGTTCGTGGCTTAGGAAAACTTGATAGGGTTTCGAACAGGAATGACAATGGTGTGTTGTTTCAGAAAGATCCTAATTCTAGCATTATCATCAAAAATCTAGGTCTACAAACCGCTTGGCCAATTTCAATGACACTAACAATCCCATCGGCGTTTCCATAAGCCAGATGTGTGCCTTCTTTGTTGAACTCTATTACTGAAATAGCTGTGAAACGATGTAACGATATTAATGTGTACTTACGTCCTGAACCTTCGATTCTTCTCAGAATTTCGTTGCAGTACCATTTGAGTCGGCCTATTGTAGAAATGAACATGACGGTAAGAAATCACTTTTACGACATACCAGATTGGGCCACAACATCACAGGACGGAGCAGCATACTGCCCAATAGGGCTTTGCATGTCAAAAAGTTGCGCAACATTCAACACGTGCGCCTAGCCCGTTCGAACTTCTTCATTTCTCAATGCTGATTAGCTTTATATGTAAATTCTACAGGACTAACCCAACATATAATAGCGCCTAAGCTACATACAACACCTTAAAAATACGCAAGACTTACCCAAAATTCAATGTATACAGATTTAAAAGCTTTGCAATCAAATGTCTTGGATGCGCGCTATTTAAAAGTACAATGGTGTTTTGACCTCGCTGAGTTAGTTTTATTGTTTTAATGGTTTATTGCTTACCAAGACTATTTTTCACTTTATCTGAATTTATTTCAGTTAAACTATCCGGTAAGAGTACCGTTTTGGTTTCTAATGTATTTTATCGTCGGTACCTTTGAGCACATTTTTTCTAATGTATTTGTTAGCGATTTTGGTTTTACCAATTTACAGATTTTCACTTTTTGGTCATAAGTTTCTACTGTCTTTGAGGATTGTTGTATCTAGTTCCTTTTTGAAAACCTCTGAATCAAGTCTGAATAGTGCAAAAAAGCTATTGATACATTCTCGAAAGCGGCATGCAGCGAGAGAAGTGTGATGGATGGTACCATGAAGTTAGCATGAATCCAACGCCTGTATCCCTTAAACGGTTCAATAAGAATGGTTGTGTGTGGTTTCGTAAGCAGTGCTACTCGGACAGCTTGCTAACGGAGGCCATCTCAGTGGTAAACATTGCTGGAAGATTGTTAGCAAACATAGTCGAGACACGTCAGATAGTACTCGCTCGGTCGATTGATGTGAATTCACCTCAAACAAAGTCAGCATTGACTGACTTATGTGGACCAAAGAAGGAAAGGTCGACTTCAAAGAGGTCTATCCGAAATAAAGGCCCAAGAATGAAAGTTTCTTCCGTCTCCCGTCTTCCAAATGACAGCCAGCAGGAAACGCCTAAAAAACCTAGTCGTATGGCAAGATATATTTCCGTCAGGAAAAAAAACTGACTACCCAGGTCGTTAACAATCAACTTGGACCTCATAGTGTGTTTCGCATGACTGTGGTCGCTACCCCATCAGAAGTTGATGAATGGGCTCAGGTCGAGAATAAGGAAGGACCTAATATTATCAAAGAAAAACTAACCCTTTAAAAGTAGCTGAGAGGTTAAAACTTTATCATAGTGACAGATCAGTTACCTTTACTAGGGTTAAAGGGAGTGGAAACTCAGAGCCTTAAAATCGTTTTGAGCATGATAAGAATTTTGTGCAGTTAGTTATGACAGACTTATTTTGTAATTATTTTTTGCTAATACTTTCATTTCTTCACATTTACTGCAAATGACTGTGAAAACGTTGTTTAGAAAGGCATGCCTTTGATTTTCCGTACCCTTTTCTAACACCACATAGCATGACACACTGATTATCGCTCACAAATACACTGCTACACTCATGTGCCTTTTGTTCTCAATTACTTATCGTTATGATAACAGAACTCTAATGTATTTGCTATATATGCTTACAGATCACAGTGATATATTTACTACATGCTTTGTCTGGATATACATCTCCAACTATAAAAATAGTGGTTGGAGTAATAAAATACATATAACTGTGGATTATAAGGCCACAAGGAACTCGACCACGCCAACTTCTGACAATTTATGTAACGTCCTGTGTATTTTTCTTGTGTATGGATTATATCCAATGTATTGATACATCATTTTCCTTTCGTAATAACTTTATTATTGGAACTAATATATTCTTGTTCCAACACCAGTTGACAAAACAAGTGACCCCTCAAAATACCCCTAAAATCACCTTGCTAAATGTTTATAGGCTCAAGTCATACGGACTTTAATCATAACAAAACCAAGTTGTTAAAAGTGGTATTTAAGTCTTCCAACCAAGTGAAATTAACACTGTAGAATGGATATAAACTAAAAGGGTCGGGAGTTTTTGTCTGTAAACACTTGATGCTCATGGACCGTATCTTCTGAAACATGAATACTAAGGACAAGATAAGAGTAGATGTCTAAAGAGGCTTCACACGCCGACTGCTAGGATGTGACTTCACTCTCAACTACATAGATGGATGTAAGCACCTCTCCTTAGAACCATTACAGTATAGTCGGCTAACGAACAATCTAATATTTCTATACAAAGCATTACATGCAGTCATATTTCTAACCTCCTGCATAATCGTGATCCGTAATCCAGTCTACAGACTCAGAAACAACCCACATACATTGCTTACAGTAAAACACCGGAAACCACTGCGTTGTAAGATTTTTACAGCATAGTTTATTATCGAATAGGTTGGCACTACTAATCCGTAACTGTGACACTATCATCAACTTCAAAAGACTATTAACACTGTTACTTGACACTAAAGAGCTTCATCAATTATTCCCTGAAATTCCGTCCACTAATGAGACACTTTATTATGGACAGCCTAAAATCTAGACCGATCATAAATATAACAGACTGCCGTTAACATTAATATGAATATAACCAAATGATAGAACAAATGGTTAACCCTCTCACATTATTCATTCCCATCGAAGCAACCACAAGCATGCTTTATCTTCTATTCGAAAAGATTTGGGAGGAGGAACAGGTGCCGATGGACTGGAAAGAAGGACACCTCATCAAGATTCCAAAGAAAGGAGATCTGAGCAAATGTGAAAACTACAGAGAAATTACACTACTGTCAGTACCAGGAAAGGTCTTTAGCAGAGTTTTGCTGAACCGGATGAAAGATGCAGTAGACGCCCAACTTCGAGATCAACAAGCTGGATTCCGTAGGGATCGGTCGTGCACAGACCAAATTGCGACACCACGGATCATCGTCGAACAATCAGTGGAGTGGAACTCGTCACTATACATCAACTTCATTGATTATGAAAAGGCATTTGACAGTGTGGATAGGAGAACGTGATGGAAACTTCTTCGACACTACGGAGTTCCTGAGAAGATTTTCAATATTATCCGGAACTCATATGACGGACTACAGTGCAAGGTCTTGCATAGAGGACAACTGACAGATGCATTCCAAGTAAGGACCGGAGTCAGACAAGGCTGTCTACTCTTTCCCTTTTTTATCTGGTGGTTGACTGGGTTACAAAGACCTCGACTTCTGAGTAAAAACACGGAATACAATGGGCAGCTCAAAACCAATCAGACGAGTTGGACTTCTCAGATGACCTAGCCCTCCTATCGCACACACATGAACAAATGCAGATAAAGACAGCCAGTTAAGCGGCAGTCTCTGCATCAGAAACCCTCAGCATACACAAGGAGAATGTTCAACATTGTAAGAGCCTACAGAACCCAGAAGCGTAGAGGAGGAGAAGCTCAATTACATGTCACATTTAGGCAAGAATGGTCGTGTAACGACCGAACAGCCAATATTCGGTTGGAACAACGGACTGACGAACCCAAAATTTATTCGATTAGACCAGACCAAGTTCCTCTGTATAGCTCACAACGCGTCTTTGAGATACTCGTATTATATTATATCAAAACACAAACTCTGTGCTCAATATAAACAGTTCTAATTAAGAACAGAACAAATTACATCAAAAATAAAAAATACCTCAAACGGTACAGCCTGTGCTATACAGTCAGAAGTTTCTCTAACGCAAAGTAGCGCGCTAAACAATGAAAGAGACAGTTAATACTAAAGGGTTTGATACCTGAGAATCAATACAAATATTCCCAATAAGATGGGATCAAATATCTATCTGCAGGGATTGCAGCAATTCTCCCAAGCAGACAGTCAGAAGGTTAACAGTCACAAAATGAACCACGCCGTGACCTTGAGCTTAGTCAAACACAACCTTACTGTCAATGGTCCGGCAACATGCAATAGAAAATTAGGTAACAAAAATAAGTCTTTAATCAAAATCACATAATAAAGGCTCAAACGGGGAAGACTTAAGAACAAAAGACATAGTTAAACGAGATCGAAACAAAGGTTGGAATACACAAAAAGGGAGAAGGAACAAATAAATGACAATACTATTCAACAAAGAAGCTGCAGAGGGATTTTCACTGTTCTCTTTCTGTTACAGGTCGTGTACTTATAGTCTTTGATTTCCATATTTTTGAAAACAAAAATGTTTCATCCCAAGCCAGATCAAGTGTTTACAAGAAATTATACACTCGGCATCTTCAGTGGATTGGACAATAGAATCATAATTCCCTATTAAAACCGCTTAGGAGGTGTACAGAAATGTGTACATAAAAATTACTGTACTGAATGACCCTTGAACAACAAGAAGTTCAAAAAACTCGCCACCATGGTTCAGTAAGGAGGCTTACATCCTTCATCGTGAGATGAAAAGAATGTGCTAAAGATCTGGGTCGCAGTTTACTGACGAAACAAAACTTAAATATCAGGAAGCCCGAAAGATTTGAGCCTCCACCAACAATAAGTCTAGAAGATTATATGAAGAAAGGCTTTGTAAGAAGTCTATAGAATATCGCAAACGCTTATATTCTTATATAAACCGAAGAACTAAGAGGGTAGGCAGCATCTCCGAACTTTGTCTAAGCTAGTGAGATTCTTACAATTTGTCCGATCAACAGTATGGGTCCCCTGGCTCTTGAGCCTTCTTCTGGCCATCGATCTGTAAACGATTAGGGTTAGCTTGCGTTTAAGATGCTGGCCTGGCCTAGAAGCACACTGCAATGCCACCATGTATTCGTCCGCTGTTAGCTTCCACTACGCTCGTGGACAAAAGAATGTTGGAGATGCTCCCTCATAGTCGTGTGTTTCACTCCAGTGTATGGAACATTCTCCTCCCTCTAAAGTATCCTGTTTGTGACCTAGGTAAAAAAAAGTGGTCACTACTTTCTAATGGCGCATGAACATAGATATCCTTGACTAGATTTTAACCATTTGTCAGTAAATGATCTAATTCTGAGGTTTTTCCGTCCATATACCATCTCGTGGCATCATCCACATGTTCGGTTAGTCCTGAAAGTTTGATAGCTGCGGCAACTTGCTTATGGAGCCACATT